AATCGGGAGTGTATCAACATTGGAGAATTAAGAATGATCAATAGTAGATCAAGAAAGATTAATTGAGGAATTAATACTAGACTCATGTGAGACTCGTAAAATTCTTATTTTTAAAAACCCTATTTTTGGCTCATTTAATTATTTATTTGGATATTAGTCTCGAATATTATTTTATATCCTTATTAGACCTAAATACATGGAATTATAGGTTCATTATATTTTTAAAGTGACTTGTTTCAAAAATTAATTTTTGGAAGCTCGTTTAATGAAAATAGTGAAAACATGTTTGAAAATTTTAACCGATTGAGAATACAATAAGTTTGAAAAATTAAAGACTTATACAATGGTTCTAAAATAGGTAATTTTAGGTTTAAGTACTCAAGCGATAGTTAGTGGTACGATCGTTACAAGAATTTCTCGAAGGTTTCACTCTATCGCGCCTAAATTGGAAATACGCGTTTGCACGCGCGCGATTAATTGAGAGACTTTAGACCATTATTTTGGGACAATTAAGGGCGAATAATATTTATATGAATATAAGTGTATTGGAGGTTTAGTGCACTAGTGAAATAAACTCGAGAGGAATCGAACCCAAAACGCGCGCGTATACGCGCGGAGGAGAGTTGACTTTTGCACCAACTTGGCCCACACCTTAAAGCTTCCTAAGGAAGCTACATTTTTTATAAACTCTCTCTCTCTCTTCCTCACAAGAACAGCCGGCCATCAAGCTGAAAAAATAACTCAAAGTTTCTCAAAATTTCATCTCCAAATCTTGCACAAACCTTTACCAAATTCAACCAAAATTGAAGACCACTTAGCTCAACACTTGGAGAGTTCATTTAGCTACAAAAAAGAGGAGCTTTCCATGGTTTTTCTGAGCTGAGAAAAGGGCCAAAATTCTGCTAGGTTCATCAACCAAAGTAGGTAATGATCCACTCTCAAATTCTTGTCCTATGGAAGTTAATTTACACTTATGAGTTTGAAAATTCATGTGGGTGGCTTGTATTGTTGGAAAATATTGAAGGTGGGCTCTATGAACTCCTACCCTTGGATTGATGGCTGATGAGATGCTTGATGATGGATTTAATGTTGGTTTAGTGCTCAAATTGGTAGATTAATGGTGTATTATTAGTATAAACTTCAAGGAGTGCATGAGGTAAAAAGTTTCGATTCTGCCCCTGCTTTGAACGTACCTATTTCTGCCGAATTTTGGCAATTTAATGGCTGGTATATAATTTTTATATGTTGTATAGATGGTGTATAAAGTTTCATCGAAAAATATTGAGGTTTGGTTGGTCAAATGGATTAATTTCGTGAAGCTAATAAATCTGGAAAACGGTTCCTGTAATGCTCAGACAGCTCACTTGTTTCGTCCATAACTCTGTACTCTGACGTCGAAATCGAGTGCCATTGGTGGCATTTGAAACTAGACATTCCCAGCTTTCTAATGGTATAAAATGCAGCCCCTAATTCCACCCGAGTATTCCGTACCAACCGTTTTATGATGACTGTCCTGTTTCTCTGTTTTCCTGGAGCGAAGTACAGAGACTGCAACTTAAGGCTCGAATTTGAGCTAGTTGGGTGCCTAATTTCAAAACGATTTCTTCTGTGAAATTTATTTTTATGAATGTATTTTCCAACGCCACCAACCATGCTTAATTCTGAGTTAAATTGAGTGATTTGTGATCAAAATACGAAACCTGCCCTGTTCTTGAAAACCCTAAATTATGGGCAGATTTGATATTTGACTTGGTGTGAACTTATCAATTGAATTTCTTGGAGATAAACACTTACCAAATGTACCATGAATGTTCCTTAGGCTTTGCCTACACAAACGAACCAAGTTTGAAGGATTTTCTGGGCCAAATGTTGGAAATGAAGAACGAAAAATTCAAGGCAGTTCTGCCTTAGGATTTTCAAAACTTTGATTGTTTGGTTGACTACCTTCCCGAAGGTATTTTTCTATGAAATTTGATAGAGGGATACCCTTTATATAGGAGTGTTATACTGTCAAAGTTAGTACCAATCCAAGTCCGTTTCGATACATAACCAAAGTCCCAAAGTTGGAAGCTCAAATCTGGAAATTTGTTCACCAGTTTTGAATTTTTCCCAAACTTTGAGCTACCATATCTCGGTGCTCGAAACTCCGATTCTTGATCCGCTTGTTCTGTTATAAACCTTACTTGCAACTCTAATTGAGTTACAAATTTCAAAGGTTAGCTCGCAACGTGTGAATTTTTCCAAATTTCCAAAATTAGCGAAAAACCAACCTCAACACAACCTTAAGTACTCTGAAACAGTAATTTTGAGCCCATTTTTGAATATTTTTCATTTAGAATCATGGAAAAGTGTCTTCCAAAAACTTTTAGTACTTTCAAAGAGGTTTCCAACGGTACCAAGTTTTCCAATTTTTGACATGTAGAATGTGAGATACGATTTTTCAAAATATTGTATCAAAAATTGAAAATTTTCCAAATTCCAAAGGAATGGAGTTTTCAAGCACTCCTTATTCCTTCGATATTACTTGAACGTTGTATACTTGATTTTCCACAATGAAAACTCAATTACTCTTGTACTTTAAGAAACTCTAATTGAACCTCGATTTACGAGTAATTAAGGTTCGTTTTCATGAAATTTTCTTAGATTGTACTAACATACAATCTTCCTTAATAATTGGGGCACGTGAATGATAATACATTATTATTTGCTCAGACGCATACGAGAACCTTCAAGAGGATTCTACAGTGAACACTTGAATTTCCAGAAAATATTTCTTCTTGATTTGTTCGGTGAGTGTCAAGTGTATGGCTACTTGAACTCTATGGACTTGATTCATGCTTGGCTTACCTGATTACATGCTTAGCCTATTTAGTTTTGAAAAATGGAGTCGAGTGTGTACTTTATCGCATTCGTTCTCATTTGAAACAAATGACTCATGCTTAACATGGTTTGCCTGGTTTACATGACCTGAAATACATACTTAAACCTGTCAAATACTTGAATACATGACATGGTATGCTATGGCTGCATACGTCGTTGGAGTGCATCTCCTCGACACTTACATGGTGCATGGGGGACGTCCAAATTCATAGACCGACCTTGGGACTCGAGCCGGCATGGGCTTGGTCGGGAACCTTGGTGAGTTATGAGAATTACATGATAAGTTTGATCTATTTGAGAGATCTTACTTGGTATACTCGTGGAGTATAGCCTTCTAAATGTCGTGCCGGCCCGGAGCGGTGTATGGTGGACGGATGAAAAGTAAGTGGTAATCTACGGATTAGAAATATCAACCCGGTTGACGGAGAGTCATCACGGGGAGATATACGAATGACATCGGCAAAGCAAGTGGAACTTAGCTCCTGAGAGCTACCATATCCTTGAATTGTTTCTGTTTACATTTTGTTGGCATTATTAATTACTTGCAAGTTATCACTTGAACTGTTACTTAGATTTGTTACCTGAACTATGTGCCTGCATGTGTGTTCTTGGTCTCACGAGCGTTTTGCTCACCCTGTAGATTTGTTTTCCTTAACAGGATTGAACTCGGAGATGTATTGGAGAAACTCTCCTGATGTACTTTTGTTTAGGATTTCTATTATATTTTGACTATGCCCTTAGTTTTGTGTTGTACTTTTGAAATTGAAATGTTACTTTTGGGGCGTGATGTATATTTGGGATTCATGATGTATTTTGAATATCCGACGTGCGGGTTGGATAATGGATGACTATTGTTAAGTTTGAACGCTTCCGCATTTACTATATTTAAATTATTTACTTGTGTTGTATAGACTGGTAATAAGCTTGAATAGAATTGCTTGAGTCCTGACGAGAGTTGGGCAGGCATCTCGCGGATACCCTTTAGTTCGCCTTAGGGAGAAATGGGGCCGTCACAGTTGGTATCAGAGCTTAGGCTTTAGATCTCTGTAGTGTATCCTAGGTTTAAAAGTTTAGGATGTCGGACTGTGGAACAGGTTGGGAAGTTAAGTGACAGATTGTGAAAATGAAAACAAGAACCTAAGTTTGAATTTGTGGATGGTAAGGAGTCTTGATCTTGTGTGATACATGTGGGATAGTATGAAATGATCAGATCTAGTTTATTGAATATATCTGGACCTACATGAGCTTTTACTTTTAAGGGTAAGTTATGGGAGGAAAGGGTGATATTAAATTGTTTCGGGACGCCTTCCGGTGGTCCATTATCGAGAAAGATCTAAGGGAGTATTGGAGAGATAATCCAATTCACAGAACTCAGATTTCATGTGATTTTCAAAGGATTTGCTCATATCCAAATAATGGGGTGTTAATAGTGGTCAATTATTAAAAGTGATTATCCGAGGAAACTAGGGTGATTCGAGGGGATAATCGAGAATTGAGGGCAATTGCGGATGCCTAGACTACTAGAATTCCTAAAGTGAAAATTGAGATACTTAAGGAGCGAGGAAGACAAAGGCTCCTCGTGAGAAGCTTTAAACAGCTAAGAATCGACTTGTTAGGGTAGTGTCCGAAATTAAAGACAGGATGGATAAGTCGATGGCTGGGTGTGTAACCTTGGTTGAATAAATAGAGAATGACAAGATATTAGATAAGGGACATGAGATCTAAAACTCCTAGTGCTGGAAATGAAAATGATCCTACGGAGGTAGTGAAGACTTTTGGCCTGCCAATCACTAAGTTAGTGATTTAAACTATTTTAATAGTTCTGCCAAAGATAGACGGGGTGACGCTCGCTTAAAAGGCCATTGCATCTTGTATCTTGTTTCACTATGTTTTGAGGCAATTAAACGTTACTCATGACATGCTTGACTTTACTGCTTTATGTATTCAAATCCATGATTGGGTTGTACACGTTTGCAATAATTTCGGTGTCTTCTCTTTTACTCTTGTATTTGTTTGACGTGATAAAGGTGTCACTTTTCAAACTCTGTTTATGTGCACTCACTTTATGCCATGCCTTTAAACATGTTATATTTATGGGTGGCCAAAAGAGTGAAAAAAAGATCGTGGGCGAGAGGTTAAGCAATTCCAAACCCAAGGGGGCAATTATAGAGCTACTGCTAGACTGAACCAAAACCCTAGAAATGAAGGAAAAGAATCACGTGGTTATTGCTATTAACTAGATGATTGATGCCCTAGCACGATTAGTGGAGCACTAAAGCTCTAAACCAATCAACCACTCTGGGGACCAAGAGAGATGTGGAAATGGAATGATTCTTGATGTCCGCCTATCCAGGTTTTACGGAGAACCTAATCTCGAAATAATAAGATTGATTTGAAAGGATGCAATAAGGAACTAATGAGACTAAGAGATTATGATCTCTTCTCGAACAACTTCATAGACAAGTATTGGAGAGTGAAGTAAGACATGAAAACTCTATATCAAGGAATAGAGTCCCCGTATCTAGTTGTATTCGTGAATAATGGTAGTAATTTGATGGAGACTTAAGAGCTCACCCATATTTAGCAGAGAATAGCTAAGATTTATATTTCGAAACGACCTCTAAGCGAAAGAATGAAAGAGTAATATGACTCGAATTTCCATTATGAATAACTACACATTTTGATCCTTTGATTTGCCTGGTAGGCTAGCATCTGAGTTAAGCCAACTGGTGAGATGACAACTTTGGAAGAAATGCGTAAGGAAATGGATATTTTTCGAAATGAGATAGAATTTCAAAAGAAATTGGCTGACTACTGGGAAGGACGGTGGAAACCAGAATACGCAGAGAAAACTGAGCTGCTACGTAAAAATATAGAACTGGAGAATGAATACAAGGAAAATTCTCAGACTGGTCAAACCGTCACTTCTCACACAAAATGTGGATACTGTGGCAAGATGAACCACACTGAGGACAAGTGCTGGTTAAAGTAAGGAAAGTGTCTGTGGTGCGGTAGTATCAAGTATAAGATTTTGAATTGCTCCAGCGCATCTAAAATGAGGAAATACTCAGTGGTTAGTTAGATTCGTCACAAAGTAATCAAGTGTCAGAAAAGGTGTCTAAGTGCTGGAAGTTTCGAGTGGGGATAGATAACTCCACTCGAGGGATAGAGATTGTAGCGTTACCCTAAACTAGACTAGCACTTTTGGGGATTTAATATTTTGTATAAAGGAAAGTCTTTTGTTATTTTGTATCTTGGCAACTTGACACGTTTTGGTACAATCTTATTGTTTTCCTTTTCCTTTTGAATTGATTTAATAAACCTATCTCGAATTGATACAACTATTACGATTTTTCCATGACATATGGAGATGTACCTTGTTTTTAATTAATCTCATGGTTTATATATATATAGTTACATTTTGCCCTACACCTTTAGACTGCTAATAAGACATGAACAGTAGTAGACGTGATCGAGATTGTAAATAAGAGGGTAGGCAAACTTGAGATCTTGGAGATGACCAGGGACCGTGACCAAATTGAGAACTTGGTGTTGAAGTTGAAACCCAATGTTTGATTGTCAATTTAATATATTAATACTACGAGACTTGAGTTAGTGAAAAGAAATCCTTGGTAGATTTGATGAGCATAATGATTGAGGGATCGGATATCATATTTGGAATGAAAGTTTGAGACTATATATATATATATATATATTTATATATAGGTTAATCGAGATTTGAACGATGTGACCATTAAGAACAAATACTCCATTGTTTCACATAGCCAGGAATTTTGACCAATGGTAAGGAGCCGTGATATTATTCAAGTTGAATCTAAAGTCGAACTATTGCCGGTTGAGGATCCTAAAAACTGATGTGTTTAAAATCACTTCCAATTCAAGATAGGGACACTTTGAACCTTCAATTATGCCGTTGGGTTGACCAATGCACTAGCAACAACTATGACCTGAAAGCATCGGGGTTTAAATCGTAATTGGATTAACCTATGGTGGCATTTATTGATGATATATCGGTATACTCTAAAGTTTGAGGAGATCATGAAAGATACTTGGTGATGCTTTACAAACCTCAAGAATGCACCAACTTTCGTTAAGTTCGACAAATATGAGTTCTATTGAAAAGAAATAGCCTTTCTAGATTATACAATATCTAAAGAAGGAATTGTTGTTGATTCAACTACAGTGGAAGTTGTTTAAGAGGAAATGACTAGAAAATCCTACCGAAATTTGGAGTTTTTGGTGGTAGTCGAACCTTTCCTTTGGTTTGATCAAGGAATTTTCTAAGAGTGTAAGACTTGACAAGTTATTTGGGATTTTAAATGTGAGAAAGAATTTTAAAAGTGAAAAGTGTTTAATTGATGCACTTGTGTTAGCCCTACCGAGCGGAGGAGGTAAAGTTATAATTTATCCAGATGTTTTAAAGGGTAGATTAGAATGTATACTAACGATATAGGATGAAACGATTGTGTATGTCTCTAGAAAGTTAATGTATCACGAGAGGAAGTAGCCAACTCATGATTTGAAATTAGTGGCGGTAATAGTAACATTAAGAGTGAAGGCGTTACCTATGTGAGATATACATAAGGCCGATTATATTATCCTATGACTTGAAAATTAAAATATCTAATGAGAAAAAATTAAGGTTTGATTGCTAGTTGAATGAATAGAAATTGTGCAGCATGAGTTGGGAAATGTAAGTTAGTGATTGATCTGGTTGATTTAACCACTACGAGAATGATATTGCCTTAAGTGTGAATTTCGAGGACGAAATTCCTTTTAAGGAGGGGAGGATGCGAGGCCCAAAAAAATTCTTATTTATCGAATATTACAAGTTTACTTAAATATTTATTTACTCATTTTCTCCGAATTATTTATTTCGACCATTTTAAATCCATTTAGATGGAACAACGTCTCTTTTATAGTTTTAAAGCGTTTTGTTGGAAAATCTACTTTTGAAAATTCCTTTAGTTTGGAATAACAGTGCACGTTTTCGAGGCTACACTTGAATCGGGAGTGTATCAACATTGGAGAATTAAGAATGATCAATAGTAGATCAAGAAAGATTAATTGAGAAATTAATACTAGACTCATGTGAGGACTCGTAAAATTCTTATTTTTAAAAATCCTATTTTTGGCTCATTTAATTATTTATTTGGATATTAGCCCCGAATATTATTTTCTATTCTTATTAGACCTAAATACATGGAATTATAGGTTCATTATATTTTTAAACTGACTTGTTTCAAAAATTAATTTTTGGAAGCTCGTTTAATAAAAATAGTGAAAACATGTTTGAAAATTTTAACCGATTGAGAATACAATAAGTTTGAAAAATTAAAGACTTATACAATGGTTCTAAAATAGGTAATTTTAGGTTTAAGCACTCAATCGATAGTTAGTGGTACGATCGTTACAAGAATTTCTCGAAAGTTTCACTCTATCGCGCCTAAATTGGAAATACGCGTTTGCACGCGCGCGATTAATTGAGGGACTTTAGACCATTATTTTGGGACAATTAAGAGTGAATAATATTTATATGAATATAAGTGTATTGGAGATTTAGTGCACTAGTGAAATAAACTCGAGAGGAATCGAACCCAAAATACGCGCGTATACGCGCGGAGGAGAGTTGAATTTTGCACCAACTTGGTCCACACCTTAAAACTTCCTAAGGAAGCTACATTTTTTATCAACTATCTCTCTCTTCCTCACAAGAACAGCCGGCCAACAAGCTGCAAAAACAACTCAAAGTTTCTCAAAATTTCATCTCCAAATCTTGCACAAACCTTCACCAAATTCAACCAAAATTGAAGACCACTTAGCTCAACACTTGGAGTGTTCATTTAGTTACAAAAAAGAGGAGCTTTCCACGTTTTTTCTGAGCTGAGAAAAGGGCCAAAATTCTGCTAGGTTCATCAACCAAAGTAGGTAATGATCCACTCTCAAATTCTTGTCCTATGGAAGTTAATTTACACTTATGAGCTTGAATATTCATGTGGGTGGCTTGTATTGTTGGAAAATTTTGAAAGTGGGCTCTATGAACTCCCACCCTTGGATTGATGGCTGATGAGATCCTTGATGATGGATTTAATGTTAGTTTAGTGTTCAAATTGGTAGATTAATGGTGTATTATTGTATAAACTTCAAGGAGTGCATGGGGTAAAAAGTTTCGATTCTGCCCCTACTTTGAATGTACCTATTTCTGTGGAATTTTGGCGATTTAATGGCTGGTATATGATGTTTATATGTTGTATAGATGGTGTATAAAGTTTCATCGAAAAATATTGAGGTTTGGTTGGTCAAATGGATTAATTTCGTGAAGCTAGTAAATCTAAAAAACTGTTCCCGTAATGCTCAGATAGCTCGCTTGTTGCGTCCATAACTTTGTACTCTGAAGTCAAAATCGAGTGCCATTGGTGGCATTTGAAACTAAACATTCCCAGCTTTCCAATGGTATAAAATGCAGCCCCTAATTCCATCCGAGTATTCCGTACCAACCGTTTTATGATGACTGTCCTGTTTCTCTATTTTCTTGGAACGAAGTATAGAGACTGCAACTTGAGACTCGAATTTTAGCTAGTTGGGTGCCGAATTTCAAAACAATTTCTTCTGTGAAATTTTATTTTTATGAATTTATTTTCCAACGCCACCAACCATGCTTAATTCCGAGTTAAATTGAGTGATTTGTGATCAAAATACGAAACCTGCCCTGTTCTTGAAAACCCTAAATTCTGGGCAGATTTGATATTTGACTTGGTGTGAACTTATCAATTGAATTTATTGGAGATAAATACTTACCAAATGTACCATGAATGTTCCTTAGGTTTTTCCTACACAAACGAACCAAGATTGAAGGATTTTCTGGGCCAAATGTTGGAAATAAAGAACGAAAAATTCAAGGCAGTTCTGCCTTAGGATTTTCAAAACTTTGATTGTTTGGTTGACTACCTTCCCGAAGGTATTTTTCTATGAAATTTGATAGAGGGATACCCTTTATATAGGAGTGTTATACTGCCAAAGTTAGTACCAATGCAAGTCCGTTTCGATACCTAACCAAAGTCCCAAAGTTGGAAGCTCAAATCTGGAAATTTGTTCACCAGTT